CCCAAAAGGTGTTTCTGGTACCAAAAGTTGTTTCTGGTCCCAAAAGGTGTTTCTGGTACCAAAAGTTGTTTCTGGTCCCAAAAGGTGTTCCTGGTACCAAAAGGTGTTTCTGGTCCCACCTGTTGTTTTGCTCCTCAGCATGGCTTCATAAAAACACTGCAGGATTTCTCAAACATGATGGATGAGTCAGATCAAGGCTTTGGACATGTTTTTATCAGAGGAGAACATTATAACATGATATAAAACTAAAAAAAGTTGATTTTACATGATATTGGCCCTTTAAAACCCAATTAAAACCAATCATTCCCAGTCACTTGGCCAAGAACCAGTATCAGTCTGTGGATGGATTAATTATGGGCTCAACACACAGGAGGTGACATCACTTCCTCTCCGTTCATTTCCTGTAGAACTTGTGCGATGAGGCGACAACCACTGGCCCTCCTCCAGCCAATCATAGCGTTGTGCCTGTACGCCATGGGGTAACCAACCAAGAACCAGTTTAGACTGGTGCCATTCAGAGCGGTTTGTTTACAGGCAGATTTAACGGCTTGTGGTTTAAACTGCGTTTGGTGGATGTAGAAATGTTTTTAAAGAGCTTTTAGCCAAGGTTCAGATGTTTCTGTGCATACCACACAGATCTGGAGTTAACAGGGACAAAAAAACAAGCACAATTCAGCCCCAGTACCAGGGCCGAGGAGTTTTAGAGTCAAAAAAACCAAACCAAAGCTAAATTTATATACTAAAAGTTAGAGATTATCAGTTAGCATTAGCTTCTACCTACTTTTTTTACTTGTTTAGAATCAGCAAAGTTATTTTTTAATTAGCAGAGGCTAACTGTTTGTTTAGCTGTGCCCACCACTGTCGATGCTCTTCCTGAAGTTTTACATCGTAATGAGGCTGTGGATCAGTGAGAAAAGCTCCTTAGATTTCCTAACAGTTTTATGCAAACTGAACAGAAGCTGTTGCACAGATTTACCACTTCTCTGGACTTATGTACCGGATAAAACTGACCTCTTTGTGTTCAGGTTCTTACTGACAGGAGGCTCTGCAGGTCTCTGATGCAGACTGGATGTTGAGGCAAATATACCTTTGATTAAAGGGATCCATGATTAGTTGTAACATTAGACTTTATTTAATAAACATTTATTTATGTAAAATAAAGACTGTAAAAATACTGTAGGATGTTCAGTTTTTAAAAGTTTAAAATATATTTTAA